CCCTCCCTCCCTCTCTTCATTCCTTCCTTTCAATTTTGTTAAATGAAGCAAACACCACTTACTCTGAAAATAAATGGTTAATAATCTGTTGCTTAATAGGCTGCAGCTAGTTGTTTTCAAAATAATTGCTTGCATCAGTGAGTTAATCATTTTGCATTATCCTCCCTACATGTCTCTACTTTGGTTGTCAAATGCTTCCACATGTAGAGATGTTCAGAAGTTCAATTGCAGGCACCTCTGTCCTTTGACCTTTGAGCTCCAATGGATGGCAAGTGGCCTCATGCTTTTCCCCAGGGACTGTGGAAAGCACCCTGGGGCAGGAGGAGAGTCTACACTGCCAAGCACCCCTTCCTCCATCCCCTACCCCCTCATCATCTCTCCCTTCCATCAAGCTCCTTGGGGGAGGGTCTTGTTATCGCCATCAGAGACGGCTTTTCTGCTAGGGGTGGTGAGACCCCTTCTCTGTTTTGACATGACATCTGCATCCTGTAGGAACAACAATGGATCCAATCAAATTGTGCAATACTAAACTGGAGGAATCAGCAATAAAACCTTCCACACTTTCAAGAAACATTTGCTAAACAACCTACTATGTGCAACGTGTTATTAGGCTCAATGCTGTGATGGGTAAAAGTTGCAAAGATGCTATATATTGACTGTCCAAATTCTGCTGCTAGTTGCTTTTCTTGCATTATCTCATTTCCTCTGAATAGCAGCCATCTTGCAACTTGTTCTGAATGTGAACTCTGCGCCAGGCACTTACCATCTATTAACTTGTTTCGTCCCGCCCTCCTCCTTATGAGTTATGTGCTGCCCCCATTTCAGAGTGGGGGCACTGAAGCTCAGAGACGTTAAGCACCTTGCTCATGGTCCCACCAATGGGAAGCAGCAGAGCTGGGAGCTGACTGCTGCCCCGCACTCTGCCCATGTGAGGTCACAGCCCTAAGGAATGTTCCAAATACAGACCTTTCACAGAGGTAGGAGAGATAACAGGGAATCTGGTCCAATACTCCTGTTTCACAGCCAGAGAAACTGTGGCTCAGAGAAGGAGGGTGACCTACCTGAAGCCACACAGCCGACTAGAGGCAGAACTGGGACCAAAGCCAGGTTTGCCAACCACCAGGAAGGATGACGGTAGCTGAAATGATCAGCCCTGCACCTAATGCTGTCCCCTGACCACACCAAGGCCACGTCCAGAGCTCAGGCCGATGGGCTCGGCAAGCATCCCGGCGCATGGGGTGGTGCCAAGGAGCACCTCTGACCCCCAGACCCCTTCCTCCCTTTGTGCTGCTGAGTGCCGCTGGCTGGCGATGCTCCCTGACAAGCCGAGTGTTAGAGAGGGTGAGAAATGGAGTTTCCGCCTGAGCTTATCCTCACCTTCTCCGGGTCAGCGTCCTGCTTCTCCATAATCTATACACTCCTTGAAAACCGGGCTGGCCCGAATCTTGCCCGCTCCCTATGGCTGGCCGTATCGACCCTCCCTGTGGCTGGTCATGTTGAGTCTGAAAGGCCAGGCCTGCCTTCCAGGCCCCCGCCCCGATTTTTGTTTTGCTCCTAGTCTGTGGCCAGGCCAGTGTCCCCACAACTCCCAGCAGCCCATGGCCCCAATCTGGGCTCACGTCTTTTGCTCTCCTGTTTCTTCCTGCTAATGCCCCCCTTGAAAAGCTGGCTCCCCATTTTTTATCAAAGAAACAACTTAGAAATGTCCCGAATGTGCATGGATATAAGGATGGCAAAGCACACACACTCACAGGCAATAGGCAGAAATTGAAACTCTCCCTCTGGAAGGCTCGGGAATAACACGCAACAGACTTGGGCTCTAACAGAGTAAACGAGGTGGCAGGTACCTGGTGGCCACAGCTGTGCTCAAACCCGCACTGGAAAAGGACCTGCTGGGATTATTGTTTTTAATGTTTAACAGTCATATTAGGAGGGCGAGGTTGTAATAATTTTCCTCTCTGGTTTGTAAACTTTGTGTAATGCTGTGAGATGGCTTTTACAATAATAATAGCAATACAACCAACTCCCTCCTCAGAATTCATTCTCCCTAATAACCCAGGAGGCCGTGCCTTCTCTGTCCCTCCCAATCACCGGAACCACAGTTTGGAGCCACACTCGGGTCTCCCTGTGGGGAGCTGCAGCTGGTGGGTAGGTGCCTGCGGTGTGCTCCCCTCACCCCAACCCACCCCCCTAGGGTAGAGAAAATATCTCACCTCTGTCTTTGCTCTCACTCACACACAGATCTCTCCCCCACTCACACACACACCCTGTCACACACTCACACGGTCATCTCTCTCTATACACATTCACACACACCTCTTTCTTGCTCATCAAGCACACTCACACACACGTTTCTTCTTCACGCACACATACACACTCGTGCACATTCACACACACTTCTTTCTCCCTCATTTACACACGTAATTCTCAATGCACACTCATACACAGCCCTTCTCGTGCACATTCACATGCACACCTTACTCACGCACGCTCACACATACACACACCCTCTCATGCACACTCATATACACACTCTGTCACTCACGCACACACACACTCGCCCCCAGTACTCTGTAACCAGTACGGTGCTAAAAAAAGCAGGTGCTATTGAGTCAACTCTGACTCATGGTGACCCCTTGTGTGTCAGAGTAGAACTGGACTCAACAGGATTTTCAGTGGCTGATTCTTCAGAGGTGGGTCACCAGGTCTTTCTCCCAAGGCACCTTTCAGTGGACTCAAACCTCCAGGGACTCCAATACAGTGCTAGGCCCAGAGTGGATCCTTTCCCAACATTGGCTGACTTGTTGGGGACAGAGACGAATTTTGGATTTTCCATAACTCCCCTAGATTCCTACTCACAAAATCATCTGACCTGTCATCTGGTGGAGGTCTAAAGGGAGATTTAAGTGGTTTAGAATATTTTCTGGAAAAAGCTAACAAAACAAAGTCTTAGGGCTGGAGTTTGAGTTCTGACTCCATCACTTACTAGCTGTGTGACTTTGGAGAAGTTACTTAGCCTCTCTTTTCTTCAGTTTTCTCATCAATAAAATGGGGATAATACTTCCTACCTCCTAGGGCTGTTGTGAGGATAAAACGATAATATTTGCAAAGCAGGTAGAACATGGTCCTGCAACTTGCATGTGCTACATAAATAAAAGAAAAAAGCAACTGTTTAATTGAAGCCAGCATTAGCTGTCCATTCACTCACTGCCCTGCCTGCATTCAGCATTGACTGAGTGCCTACTGAGTTCACTAGACCAGACACAAAGGGCACAGACCCTGTTATCTAGTTAAAAAAAAAAAAAAAGACACAATTTTAGTACGACCTGATAATTCTAAATAGAGATTTGCACATGATTCTAAGAAAGGCCAAAGAAAGAACACTTACCTTCTACCAACTAAACTTGGGCAGGAAAAACCCAAAACAAAACTTCGGGGTTTTATTCGATCCCTTGAATCCATTTAAAAGTTTGAATTCAGTTTGATTTGTGACTGTTCACCAAGGTTTGGTACACACGAGTCTTTTGGAAAATATTCCCATTGAATGCCATCTATTTATCCTCTCTGATATTTTTCTTTCTGCCTGTCTTGCCGGGTCTCCGTGATCACGCAGAAAATAATCTCTGGGTCCACCCCCAGCCCTCAGCTAATGGGAGGGAGAGAGGCAGGGGTACAATCTGACCAACGTTTTGTCATTGTTTTTAAACAACCACTTATAAAATATTTGGGCGGGGAAGAGGAAAGGAAAATCCTTAGTAAGTGGTTAACTTCTCAGCTGCTGAACCACAGTAATTTGTTTTAAAAGCTTGGTGGTTCAACTCAATTAAACCACTTTGTGAACCCGTATACGCACAGCTGGTTTAATAATTGATGGAAAAATAAAATCCAGTCAATCTGCACCCCTCCCCCAAAGCCATTCCATTCTTTTGAATATAATCGCTTTTAAATGCACCGACCTGAGTTAAACTGGTGTTTGCGGCTCAGGCTGTCCACACCGACCGTGCGGAGTCCCGAGAACCGCGCGACGCAAAGAGCAGGCGAGCGCCGCGCTGGGCTCCCCGCGACGGCCCGAGGCCCACCCACCTCTTTAGCCGGCTGCTGCATACGTGCCCGCACCCAGCAAGCCGAAACGTTTTGGGAAGCGCCCTGCGCCGGGAAGTGGCGGCTGTCACTAGTGGCGAGCCTGTCAGCCCCCAGCCGTTCATCAGCTCCCACCGCCCGCAGGCAGGCCCCCGCCGCCCCCGAACTTCAGCCAGCAGACGCTGGGCTTGCGGTCTGGCGACTTTCCTAAACTCCGGGCGCCGGCATCGCGTCGCCCGACCCGGGGCAGAAACGAGCAGACGCGGCCGGCGAAGCAGTGCCGGGACCTGCCTGTGCAAAGGCTCGGAGAGCGAGCGCTGCGCTCCCGGGTTGCTGCTCCCGGCCCGCCAGCAGCGGCGGAGAAACTGGCCCCACCGCCGGAGACACTGTCCCCTCTCCGGAGGCTGCGATTCGATCAAGGGCTTGGAGGCGCGGGGGACAGTCATCTCCCTGGGTTTGCCGCTTTCCGCAGAGCCGAAAAAGCAGGAAGGAGATCCCCAGGACTGGCGGCTGGGGCGTGCGGAGTTGCGATAAGAGGGTGCTAGGGACAGGGTGAGGACCCACCTCCAGAGCCTCCTGTCCCAGGGCCGCGCTCCGCATGCGAGGGATGGGAGGTGGAAGCGAGCTTCAGCCCCCACAGCCTGCAGAGTCTCCGCAACCAGCCGTTCCCGCGGGTGGGCGGGCCCCCTCCCCCGCCAGCATCCCGGCAGTGTCGCCACAAGGTTTCTTCTTTCACCTGAGCTCCGCCACCCGCCCAGCCCCGGCTCCAGTCCAGGGAGTTCGGCTGCCCCTCAGACTTCGGCCGCCCGTGGCCCGGGCACCGTTCTGCCCCGTGCTTCCCGCACGCCACCCCTGCCGCCCGCCCTGCGCCAGCCGGGGCCGGGGGCGCCAGGCTCAAGGGCTGCCCTGCGCACTCCTACCTTGACGAGCCGGAGCTGCGGGCGCCGTCCCATCCTTGGTCTCGCTCAGTCACCGTCCTGGATGCCTGGGTCCCTCGAACATCCCAGAGGGGACGGCGGGCGGTTGTGGGCTAGGGTGGCGCAGAGCCGGCGGCTGGGCTCCTAGGTCGCTGCCCTGCACGGAGGTCCTGGGCGCCGCGCTCCCCGACCCCGCAGCCCAGCCCGTCCCGGGGAAGTCCCGCCGCCGTTCCCCGACTCAGCCTCAGTTGGCAGCCGCCTCTCGCCAGCTGGGAGGGCGCCTCGCCGCTGCCATTTCCCCCTCGGTCCGCGCTTCTCCTTGCCTGGCTCCCCACCCCCTCGCCTTGCGCGTCTCCTCCCTTCTCAATCCGCTCCCCTCCTCTTGGTCCCTCCTCCGCGCCTCGCCCCTCGGTTCCCGCCCCCTCCTGCCTCCTCGGCCCATTGCCTTCCCGGGGGCCCCCTCTCCGCGCCCTCGCGGCGCTGACCCCCTTCCCCCGCTCCCGGGTTTGCGTCAGTCCAAGGGACGCGGTGGCGGCCGCCGCAGCCCCGAGAGAAGCCGAGGATGGGGGGCGGGGGAAGAGGCAGCTTCTCGCCTCCCGCCCCTGATGAAATCGGGCCCGAGAAGTCCAAAGGAGTCTGGGGGACTGGGGAGGCTCAGAAGGGTCTATGACAGTGAGGCTATTGGAAGGTGGGGAATCGGACAGCCAGGCTGAGCGGAGCAGCCACGGAGACGGGGTGAAGCTGGGAACTGCGTTTGGGCAGTTCCCGCCCCGTGCTGGCACGGAGACGGTCCCCGCCCCCACTCCAGCCGGCGCCTAATGCTGGGGCCCTACCCCCAGGGCCTTTGGTACTGACACACCCGGTGGGCGATGAGACGCGAAAGTTCGGCTAGACAACCCTTCTCGTTCATTCATTAATCCATTTTCATTTATTCATTTTACAAGCTAAGCGCCTGCTTAGTTGTGCCTGGGTAAGAGGCTGGACCTGGGAACCCCAAAATGAAGGGGAGACGGCGGTGGCCCGCAGGACTAGCCGGCAGCTGAAGGCTGGAAGAAAAGCTGTGCGCGCATTGCGCTACAGCGCGGGGAACACAGCTCGAACCTTGTGCGCAGGGAGTGGAGGAGGCCGCAGCGCCCCCTCTAGACCGAGCTTGCAGGGTAGGGGTCACCTGCTCCGCTAGATCTCGAAGTCTTCATTCGGCTTTACCCCTCAGCTCCCCATCCCATCCCCAGCTCTGGGAGGCAGCTCTCTCTTGCGCCAGTCCGGTAAGCTTTTCCCTCCAGCCCTTCTAGAAGGACAGCACTTTTGACTTCCTCCCCTCCGCCCCTCCTTCCGCCAGAACTGAAGAGTTGCCAGAGAGAAACCTTCCCTCCGCCCCGCAGAGCCTCAGCCTTCAACCCCGCCAACGGCAGCCCCTCTGTAGTAGCCCCTACTCTGGCCGGCTCCTAACACTGGGGCCCTACCCTCCAGAGCCTTTGGTACTGACTGTGGGCAGAGCACCGTGGGTAGAGCACCGTCGCATAGAAGCCATCAGCTGGCTTTGAAATCAAACGCTGAACCTAGTTGCCCTGGGTTCTGTGCTCTGTCGCTCACCCCCTTCCACCCACTTCTCAGCACATTGGTCAAGAGCCAGCACATTCATGGGTCCAACAGACTCTCCATTTGGAACCGGACTTACAGTAAGAGGCCATGTGATCCAACACACAGGAAACTGAGGCACACAAAGGGATGGTGACCTGTCTAAAGTCCCACAACTGCTGAGCCTAGGTCTCAGTTTCCGCTGCCAGGTTCACTTACCTTCCCAGCATGCTCTGCTGCCTTCTCTTGTGTTGCTTACCACCCAGGAGCACCCAGATTCTAAGTGCCAGGAGAGCTGACCCTTGATGGGGTTTGGGGCGCTGAGGTGGGGAGGGGCATTGCCCAGGAAGTGAGCTGGCCACACTGGCTGAGCCACACAGGGTGGCACTTTCTAGGTGAAGCCACAGTCCAAACTCTCACAAAATTCCCACTAATTAGTGCCCCAGAGCTGGTCATACTGAGCCAGGAGCTGACTCACCCTGGCCAATAGCAGAAGAGAGGGATGGATGTACCAGCCAGATTGCCAATGTTTGTCTCAACAAAAAGTAACTTCAAAGGAGTCTGGTGTAGTGCCTATTCTGGAGTCAGATAGCCTGGGTTTGAGTCTTGGCTCTTCTGCTTTCAAGCTGTATAAAACTGGAAAATGATGAAGAGTCCCTCACTTTTCTTGTCTATAAAATGGAGGACAGGAATACCCACCTGGTAGAGTCATTGGTTGGATTAAATGAGTGAATATTTGCAAAGGGCTTGGAACATTACCTGGTGCTTAATGAGGGTTAACATCGCCATCATCACTTGTCTGTCTTTTGTTGTACTGTGGGGGCTTCCATGTTGCTGTGATGCTGAAAGCTATGCCACCAGTATTTCAAATACCAGCAGGGTCACACACGGTGGGCAAGTTTCAGCAGAGCTTCCAACTAAGGCAGACGAGGAAGAAGGACCTGCCAATCTACTTCTAAAAAAAATTGGCCAGTGAAAACCTTATGAATAGTAGCAGAACTTTGATATAGCGCCAGAAGATGAGCCCCTTAGGTTGGAAGCCACTCAAAAGGCGACTGGAGAAGAACTGCCTCCTCAAAGTAGAGTGGGCCTTAATGAAGTGGATGAAGTAACACTTTTGGGATCTTCATTTGCTGATGTGGCATGACTCAAAATGAGAAGAAACTGCTGCAAATATCCATTAATAATCAGAACCTGGAATGTCCGAAGTATGAATCTAGGAAAATTGGAAGTCATCAAAAATGAAATGGAACGCATAAATATTGATATCCTAGACATTAGTGAGCTGAAATGGACTGGTATTTGTGATTCTGAATCAGGCAATCGTATGGTCTACTAGGCCGAGAATGACAAATTGAAGAGGAATGGCATCACATTCATCGTCAAAAAGAACATTTCAAGATCTATCCTGAAGTACAATGCAGTCAGTGATAGGATAATATCCATACATCTACAAGGAAGACCAGCTAATATGACTATTATTCAAATTTAGGCACCAACCACTAATGCACAAGATGAAGAAACTGAAGATTTTTACCAATTTCTGCAGTCTGAAACTGATCAAACGTGCAATCAAGACACATTGATAACTGGTGATTTGAATGCACAAGTTGGTAATGGAGTAGGATCAGTAGTTGGAAAATATGGTCTTGGTGATAGAAACAATGCTGAAAATCACAGGATAGAATTTTGCAAGACCAAAAACGTATTCATCGTAAATACCTTTTTCCAACAAGATAAACAGTGACTATACACATGGACCTTGCTGGATGGAATACACAGGAATCAAACTGACTTAAAAAAGATGATGGAGAAGCTCAATATCATCAGTCAGAACAAGGTCAGGGGCCAACTCTGGAACAGACCATCAATGGCTCATATGCAAGTTCAAGTTGAAGCTGAAGAAAATTAAAACAAATCCACAAGAGACAAAGCATGACCTTGAGTATCTCCCACCTGAATTTAGAGACCATCTTAAGGATATATTTGATGCAGGGAACACTAATGACTGAAGACCAGATGAGTTGTGGGATGACATCAAGGACATCATACACGAAGAAAGCAAAAGGTCATTAAAAAGTCAGGAAAGAAAAAACAGACCAAAATCGATGCCAGAAGAGACTCTGAAACTGGCTCTTGAATGTAGAGTAACTAAAGTGAATGGAAGAAATGATGAAGTAAATGAGCTGAACAGAAGATTTCAAAGGGTGGTTCGAGAAGACAAAGTATTATAATGAAATGTGCAGAGACCTGGAGATAGAAAACCAAAAAGGAAGAACATGCTTGGCATTTATCAAGCTGAAAGAACTGAAGAAAAAATTCAAGCCTCGAGTTGCCATATTGAAGGATTCTAGGGGGAAAATATTGAACCACACAGGAAGCATCAAAAGACGATGGAGGGAATGAACAGAGTCACTGTACCAAAAAGAACTGGTCAACATTCAACCATTTCAGGAGGTAGCATATGATCAAGAACTGATGGTATTGAAGGAAGAAGTCCAAACTGCACTGAAGGCATTAGCAAAAACCAAGGCTCCAGGAACTGATGGAATATCAACTGAGATGTTTCAAACAAATGGATATGCTGGAGGTGCTCAGTTATCTATGCCAAGAAATTTGGAAGACAGCTACCTGGCTAACCGACTGTAAAAGATCAATATTTGTACCCATTCCAAAGAAAGGTGATCCAACAGAATGTGGAAATTATCGAACAGTAACATTAATATCACATGCAAGTAAAAGTTTGCTTAAGGTAATTCAAAAATGGTTGCAGCAGTGCATTGACAGAGAACTGCCAGAAATGCAAGCCAGATTCAGAAGAGGACGTGGACTGAGGGATATCGTTGCTGATGTCAGATGGATCTTGGCTGAAAGCAGAGAATACCAGAAAGATGTTTACCTGTGTTTTATTGACTATGCAAAGGCATTCAACCTTGTGGATCATAACAAATTATGGATAACATTACAAAGAATGGGAATTACAGAACACCTACTTGTGCTCATGCAGAAACTGTACATAGACCAAGAGGCAGTT